TTTGATACAAGATGAGATTGTTGATTAATACGTTATGAAATCCTTACATGTGGAATGTTTGCCATCTAGTGGTTGGAGACCAAAAAACTGCAGATGCTGGAATACAAGATAGACAAGCAGGAGGCTGGAAGAACACGGCAAGCCAGGCAACATCTGGACTCAGTCCTGAAGAAGAGTTATACCTGTAATGTTCGCTGCTCCTTTCCTTCAGATGCTGCCTGGCTTGCTGTGTTCTTCCAGCCTCCTGTTTGTCTGCCATCTAGTGGTGGTTGTTAGCGTCTGCAGAACATGACAACTTCTATAAATAAGGCCCAAGCCTATTGTTTGGATTTCTCCAAATTGAATGCGACCAGTTTACTGCAACAAGTTACATTTTGGGAATGTTACTATCTGCTCTGTTAAAGAAATCTTGAAATGATGAAGGCTTTCTAGCAGCACTATCTCAGATGAGTGTGTAAAATAAATTGATCAAGATGTTGAGTAGTAATGAAAGCCAGTTCCTGAAATTAAGGCTTCAGACATGTGCCTAGCTTTTTTACTGCTCTTTGGCATGAATTGTACATGATGCAAATTCTCCTTTTGAGTGCACATTGACAACAATTAATAAAGTTAAATTAAACAAATGGCTGACAGATCTATAAAACAAAGAACCGCAATCACTGAAGATCTGAACAAGAACTGAAATTCCTAGAGAAATTCAGCATGTCTGGCAAAAACTGTGGAGAGAAAGTAGAATTTTGAGTCCAGTGACTTCCTTCAGAACGGATAGTAGTTAGGAAGAGGTATATGCTCAACACAGGGGGATGCCACCAACAGACATACAATCCCCTTCCCTCTCTAGTCAGCATTTCATGGGGTCTATTCCTTCTGGGACACCCTCGTCCACTCTTCCAGTCCTAACACCCCTCTCACCATCTCTGAACCTTCCCATGCAAGCACAGAAGGAGCAACACTTCCCATTTACCTCCACTTTCCAAAGCTCCAGGCTCACCTTCCAGATGAAGCAGTGATTCACCTGCACATCACTGAATCTAGTCTACTCTATTCGCTGCTCTCAATGTGGTCACAGCAACGCTGGGGAGACAAACGCAGATTGGGTCCCCGTTTTATGGAACACCTAGGTTCTGTCCGTAAAAATGACCCCAAGTTTCCAGCTGCCTGTCACTTCAACACACTACCCTGTTCCCTGGCCAACATCTGTCTTGGGCCTGCTACAGTGCTCCAGTGAGGCTCAGCAGAAGCTGGAAAAACCGCATCTCATTTCCCACTTGGGGACTCTGCAGCCTTCAGGATTCAACATAGAGTTCAATAATTTTAGAATATGAACACCGCCTCCCATGTCCTTTACCCATCCCCACACCCAGGCCCTGTCATGACACAGGCTGCTTTCAACAGAGCCAACCCATTTTCATCTACTAATGGTCCCTATTATCAGGTTTTCTCCTTCCCTGGCTTACTACTATTCACCCCTTTATCTGCCTAACTGATTTTTGCTCTCTCCTGGCTATGTCTCCACATATCTGCTTTACTCCTTTTTCCAACTGACCCATCTACAGTATATATACCACCTAGCTGCCATCATTTCTGAAGAAGAAATGTTAATATAGCTTTCTCCCCACAAATGCTGCCAGATGTGCTGAGTTTCACCAGCAGTTTCTGGTTTTTGTTTCAGATCTTCATCATCTGCAGTTCTTTGTTTCTGTGTTCTAAAATAAAATGCTGTGAATGGTGAATATCTGAAGTAAATGCTGAAATGATTATAGGGTCAAGGGTATATCTGTGGAGAGAGTAAAGATCAGTATTTCATTTTGGTCTTTGATTAGAACTGCCCATCAAACAGTCTTCGACCTGAAACATTGACTCTGGTCCTCTCTCCATAGGTGCTGCCTGATTTTTTGAGTATTTTCAGCGCTTTCTGTTTTCACTTAAAATCTACTGAACTTTACCCTGAAAATGCCCTTTTGATTTTTTAAAAGAAAGTACTGGTTAGGCCAGCATATATTGCCCATCCTGAATTGCCCTTGAGAATGTGGTGGTGAGATGCCTTGAATCAATGTCATCTGTATGGTCTTGCTACACCCACAACGCTAATCAGAAGGCAGTTCTGGGATTTTGAACTCTGTTGTCAAGGATGATTTTTGTGTCATTGTGCAGTTTCAAATGTATGAAAATTGAAGACAATTAACCATCTCAATGTCACAAGATTCTGAGGACACCCTCCCAAAATTTTTTTAATTTAATTTTTAAATCATTCAAGGTAGGGTCTACAATGGCTCTATTTCACCCTGTCAATATCTGAGTAGGACATGAACTGACATGGATGACAAATGTAAGTGCAAGAAGGAAATGTTCAAAATCCAACTCCCCTTTCCACGCAGTAAAGTCTGCACCTCTCTGGTCCCCTCCCAATCATTCATAAACTGACAATCATTTTATGAAGAAAAAGAAATGTGTGTAGAAGCTGTTTAGTGCCTTTATTCTTCTGAAGCTCGTTGTCCAGATCAACGTGGTTAAATTTACAAGCTGTTCGTTATATCGTGTCTCAGAAATCCTGGGTGTGGAGCAAAATAAGAATAAATCAAAGAGTGTCCATCACTGTATGTGATTTAAATTTGTATATACTCCATTCCCTTGCCATCGTGTCCTACCTGTGTATAGTCATAGAGTAATACAGCATAGGAATAGGCCTTTCGGACCAAACTGGTCCATGCTGGCCATGGTACCCACTCAGCTAGTTCCAATTGCCTGCATTTGGTCCATATCCCTCTCAACCCTTCCCATCCGCACATCTAATCCAGATGTCTTTAAAATGTTGCTATTGGACCTGCCTCAACCACTTTCTCGGCAGCCCATTCCATATACACACCCGTCAAGTCCTTAAATCTTTTGCCTGTCATGTTAAATTAGTAGTTTCTTCAATTTTAGGAGAATTTTTATGTTTAAATGTTTTAAGGTCTACTTCCCCCGTCCTCCGCTGCAAGGCAGAGAGAGAGGACTCCTATACCTACCATCTTACCCAATGCAAGTTGCCCAAAATGATTATGTTCCCCTGCCTACTCAACATTCCTCCAAAGTGATGGCACTGAGATTGTGAGACATGAGTGGCTGTGGAACCTGTGTCTCATCTGTGGTGTTATTTGCAGGTGTTGCTGGCTAGGCCAGCATTTGGTTATCTCAAATTGCCCAGCACCAAGAGTCAACCACATGCAGTGGATCTGACTTCACATGTAAGCCAGACCAGGTGAAGACAGCAGTTTCCTTCCCTGAAGGACATTAGTGAATTAGGTTTTTTCCTAATAATTGATAATGATATCATTTAGACTCTTAATTGAAGATTTTTTTTATTGAATTCAAAGTTCATAGTCTGCCATGGCAGGATTCAAATCCAGGACCCAAGAATGTTATCTCAATCTCTGGGTTAATAGGCCATCACCTCCCTAATGTGAGTAAGACTGTCTGGTCCCTGCAGCCTGCTCCATTCAATTTGATGATGGCCAATCCTCATATTCACTTTTCTGTCTTCTCCCCACAACCCTTGATTCTCCTGCTCAAGAATCTATCTGTCTCAGTCTTAAATATACACAAGGATTCTGTGCCCACTGATCTCTGTGGCAAAGAATTCCAAAGAGGGACAGCCCTTTGAGAGAAGAAATTCCTTCTCATCTCAGTTTTAAATCAGTGCCCCTTCATTCTGAGACTATGCCCCTTACTCCTTGACAATCTCATGAAGGGAAACGTCCTCTCAGCATTTACCTTGTCAAGCTTCTTAAGAATCCAACATAATTCAATCATATCATCTCTCATTCTTAATTCCAGTGAGTACAACTCCAACCTGTTCACCCTTTGTTTATAAGGCAATCTTTCCATACTGTTCTGAGGAAGGATCATCAGACCCGAAACTTTGACTCTCTTTTTTTCCTTCACAGATGCTGCCAGACCTCCTGAGCTTTTCCAGCAACTTTGTTTTTGTTCCTTTCCATACTAGGATCATTTTAGTGAACCTTCTCTGAAATGCCTCCCATCTTTGCTTAAGTAAGGGGACCAAAACTGTTCACCATACTTCAGATCTGGTCTGACTGGCATCTTGTATATTTTGAAGTAAGAATTCCCTACTTTTATATTCCAAACGCATTGATTTAAAGGCCAGCATTCTATTAGCTTTCCTCATTATCTGCACCTGTGTGCTAGCTCTCTGTATTTATGCACAAGTACCCCCAAGTCCCTTTTGTGTTGCAGCTCATTGCAAATTTCTCCATTTAAATAATTTTTTCTTTCATTCAGCCTTCCAAAACAAACAACTTGGCAATTTCCCATATACTTCATTTGCCAACTTTCTGCCTACTTGTTTAACCTATCTATATCTCTCTGTAAATTGTTTGTATCCTCACAACCTGCCTTTCCACCTATTTGTGTTACCAGCAAATTTGGCTATGGTACGTTCACTTCCTTCCTCCAAGTTATTAATATGAGTCATTAATATGATCATACTGACACATGTAAGTTGATAGAAGCAATAAACCACGATGTCAAATATCTTCACCACAAAGACTACAATGGTTCAAGGGCACAAATTGTCACCATCTTCATGAAAGCAATCATGATGGCAATAAATGCTGGCCTGACCAGTGAGGTACACAATCCCATGGATGAATAAAAGAAAATACATTGAAAATAAGGTATGGCACATGCAAGTAGTAGGTTTTATGTCATCTGATCCTTTCTCTACCCATTAACCATCAGATGTATTTGTAATTCTAAGGGCATCATGAACTGAAGGTCTAGACTTTATTAGTGAGCAATTGTTGATTTTATTAATTTTCTGTAATTCTGTACACTATTACAGAAGATAGAGGTCACAGACAAAGGTGGCTTACTGTTCTTTGCACAGAATGTGGAATGGCTGTATTTAGAAATGTTAATTGTCATTTGCTAGCAGTAAGTGTGTTCTGAGGAGAGAAGCAGTAATTAGCTTGTATTAAAATGCGTGAAATCTTTTGCATAGGTTGGCAGGAATAGCACTTCTGTACCTGGAACAAGAAGAGGCGTTTTGGTGTCTAGTTGCTATTACAGAGTGTTTTATGACTCCAGACTATTATACAAAGAACCTGATCGGGTCGCAGGTGAGATCATTACACAATTGTTATTCTCCTTTCTAATTTAGTTTACCATTGGTACATTTCTGCAGTGGATGTATAAATGAGGCCAGAGCAAAGGTGAAACAGTTCCTGACTTCCTCCATTTTTCAGTGACCAGAGACACCTGTCAGTGTCATGCCACCCACCGAAAGTATCATTAAATAGTATCCAAAGGCTGTAAGTACTGCAAATGCTGGAAATTTGAAATCATCACAGGATGCTGGTGAAATTCAGCAGGTCTGTGCAGGGAGAAACAGAAACATTTTCAAGTCTGGTATGAATCTTCAGACAAATAGTGTCTGTTGTGACTCTTTGAGTAGCAGAATATTCTACAGGGAAAGGGACTGAGCCAGAAGTTGTGCTGCACATCAGTACCAACAACATAGGACCTCAATACCTGTCCTCTCTAACAGGCAGTTTTCAGGAGCTAGGAGGGGATGTGTAAGAAGGAGGACCTCAATGATTGCAATCTCTGTGTAACTCCCAATGCCGCACATTAGCCAGAGTAGCAATAGGAGGCAGTGCAGGATCACTGGACAGCTTGAAGCATAGTGTAGAAGGGAGGGCTTCACAGTCTTGGGACAGTGGGACCAGTTCTGATGGAAGATACCTATTGAAAAGGAATAGCTGCTGCTCAACATGACATGGGACCAGCATCCTTGTGGGGAAAGTCACTTGAAGGTAAAGTCACCATAGCCCTACTGGACCATAGGAGTATAATTAGAGAAACGGCTGAAAATGGTTAAACCTGAGTATTACGACACCTTGGGTGAGGAGAGAAGTTGAGAAAGAGACACCTTCGTGGTAGCTTCAGCCAATGCAGGAGTTGAACACAGGCTGTTGGCTGCATCACAAAGCAGCCATCTAGCCAACTGAACTAACCGACCCCTAAAGGTCATCTTGTGGTTGGGAAGGGTTCAAACTAAGTTGACGGGTTGGACTCCAGTACATACAAATAAGAAAAAAGAGGAATAAGGTATGTAAAACAAAAGTGTTGGACTGTATTAGAGAAAATAGTACCATATTTTTAAGAAATAGACTAAAATGGACTACAGGGAATGAAAAAATTTGTGAAGAGTCCCTGTAAAATGCTGACCAGGGAAGGGAGGGGAACATATGTCTGGTGGTGGCATTCTGCTGGAGATGCTGGAAATGGTGGCTCATGGTAATTTGGATGTGGATGCTGGTGGGTTGGAAAGTGAGTACTGGGGACTCTATCACTGTGGGAAGTGAAGGTGCAAGGGCAGAAGTTTGGGACGTAGATCGGATATGTCTGAGGGCCCCGTCCACCTTAGTGCAGGGAATCATTGATTGAGGACAAAGAAGGACTTTTCTGAGGTCCACCCTGCAGAAGATGGCAACATCAGAACAGATGCAACAGATTCAGAGAAACTAGGAGAGTGGAATCAAGTCTTTACAGGAAGCAAGGTATGAGGACGTGTAGTCCAGGTAACTGTGGAAGTCAGTGATCTTGTAGTGACACTAGAGGGTCAGCACAAGTTGGAAGAATGACATCTCATTTTCCGCTTGAGCACCCTGCAGCTTTCCTGGTTCCGTTGAGTTCAATAATTGTATAACCTCCGTCGTTTACACATCTCCACACCCCTATTCCTGTCATGGTATGGCTGCTTTCAGCACAGCCAACTCATTTTCACTTGTGGGCTCCATTATCAGTTGTTCTTTTTCCCTGGTTTACTATAATGTATCCCTCTATCCCTGCCTAACCTATACTTTCTTGCTGTCTTGTTTGGCTCCATCTTCACCTATTTGCTGAGAGATCTGTGAAACGCCACCCCTCCACCCAGCCTTCAGTATATTTACTACCTTTTCCTAACTACTAACTGTTCTGAAGATGGGTCACTGGATCTGAAAAGTTAACTCTGCTTTGTCTCCACAGATGTTGCAGACCTGCTGAGTTTCTCCAGCTATTTCTGTTTTTGTTTCAGCTATTTCTAGGATCTTGTGTATAAATTGGCAGCACTTCAAAATGAACATTTTTTTGCAATGGAGTGTTTTAAATATCTTGAGGGCATGAAAAATGCTCAATGTAAATGTAAGCTTTCCTTTAGACTTGAAATTGTCCCCTTCTCTACACTAGGTTGACCAGCGAGTACTGAAAGACTTGCTAAGCGAGAAGCTGCCACGATTACACGCTCACTTTGAACAGTACAAGGTCGATTTCTCACTCATCACCTTTAACTGGTTTCTCGTGGTATTTGTGGATAGTGTTGTCAGTGACATCATGTTCCGTATCTGGGATTCATTCCTGTATGAAGGTCCAAAGGTAGAGTCTCTAATTCTCTCTTTTAAATAGTCATCTTTTCCTGTAAAGGGCGGCACAGTGGCTCAGTGATTAACACTGCTGCTTCACAGCGCCAGGGACCCAGGTTCGATTCCATCCTCGGGTGACTGTGTGGAGTTTCCACATTCTCCCCGTGTCTGCGTGGGTTTCCTCTGGGTGCTCCAGTTTCCTCCCTCAGTCCAAAGGTGTGCAGGCTAGGTGGATTGGCCATGCTAAATTTCCCATAGTGTTCAGGGATGTGTAGATTAGGTGGGTTATAGAGGGATGGGTCTGGGTCTGGGTCAGTGTGGACTTGTTGGGCCGAAGGGCCTGTTTCCACACTGTAAGGATTCTATTATTCTATGATTCAAATCTTTGGGTTTAGAGTAATGTGGCTGGAATGTCTACTTTCTGTATTCATTGTAACTGCTGATAATATTTATGATCCTTACAGAAATTTCAAATCAAGAATTAAATTACTTTAGAACAGGTAGTGAACCTTATACAAACTTGACTTTATCTTGGTGTAACACTTTGGTATAATCGTCATTTTCATTGATCATTTTTAAAGCATTAATTTTTAAACTAATTTTAATTACGATGTTGCTAATTTTGGTGGTCATCTGGAACACAAGCTGTTTACTTGTTTATTTGGTTAAATCACTTTCTGCATAAATGCAGGTTATATTTCGCTATGCACTTGCAGTCTTCAAATTCAAGGAGGACGAGTTTCTGAAGCTTCAGGATAATATGTCCATATTCAAGTATTTGAGATACTTCACCCATACTATTCTTGATGCAAGGTAAGTTTAGTGCTACTAACCCCAATACAAATGTCCTGAGCTGATTATGAATCCTGATTATGTTCTTTTCCCTCGCTTATTGCTGCCATACCCTTCTAAAATAATGCATGCTTAATGTTCAATCGCTATACAAGCTATGTCACCTCTCATTTACAATTTTTTAAAACTCTTTAGTGGGCAGTGCAAACATTTGTTATCCATCTTTAATTGTCCTTGAACTGAGTGGCTTGCTAGGGCCGTTTCAGGGGACAGTTGAGAGTTGTGGGTCTGGAGTGACAGGTAGGCCAGACTATTCTGAAGAAGTCACTGGACCCGAAATGTTAACTCTGCTTTCTCTCTGCAGATGCTGCCAGACCTGCCGAGATTTTGCAGCAATTTTCGTTTTTGTGGCAGATTCCCTTTTGGATAATCAGTTGCTGAGTTTAGATTTCAATTCCAGACTTTATCAGTTGAATTTAAATTCTGTTAGCTGTCTTTGGATTATTAGTCCAATGATGATATCACAGTGTGACTAGCAGCCTGGTGTCACCAATTTGCTGGTACCATGTGCTTCTTGAAGTTGAATTTTCACCTAGGCATTATCTTGCCTACGGTGCAAAATTGGTATCTTGTTGTACTTATAGCCATGGCAACCCGGCATCAACATTGAGCCCTTTCTTCCCCCTCAGCTCCTTCTGTTTCCTTGCTCCAGCATCCCTCTTAATCTTTCGCAATACATTCTCCCGTAGGCCACTGGTGGCCCATCCTTCAGTCTCCACACCTGTGTGTTCTAGAGCATGCTTTCTAACTCCTCCACCTCTCCTCCACACAGGGTTTCAAATGTGTCTTCAGAACCTAGGAATCAGGAAGTCATCTTCCTTAATTTTATTCCCTCCTTAGGGTCCCTTACTCTAAAATGTCGCATGGCATTGTTTCATTCTTTTGTTGAATGTGAGCCATGCATTTATTGTTCATCCCCGATTTCCAGTGAAGATGAGGCAGTAGCCATCTTCTTGAAACTGCAGTCCATGGTGTGTATGAACACTGAGACTACTGTTAATACAGCAATTCCAGGATACGAATGCAGTGATAGCAAAGGAATAAGGATTTGTTTCCAGATCAAGATGGTGCACGATCTGGCGAGCTTGCAGGGACTGTTGCTCACATACATTGCTGCCCTTGTCCTTGTAGGTGATAAAGGTCACTAGTTGGAAGGTGCTGTCAAAGGTGTCTTGATGTGTTATTGCAGTGCATCACGCCACTGTGCATTGGTGGTAGATGGGATGCCAATCACACAAGCTGCTTTGTTCTGGATGGTGTCAAGCTTCTGAGTGTTGTTGGAGCTGCACTAATCAAGGCAAGTATTCCATCACGCTCCTAACTTGTGCTTTGTAGATGCTGCACAGGCTTTAAGGAGTCAGGAGGTGAGTTACGTGCAGCAGAATACATAACTTGTTACCTCACTGTGTATTTAATGGCTGGTCTTGTAAAGTTTCTGGACAATGGGCACCCCCAGGATAGCTGGTGAAAGATTTAGCATTGGTATTGCTGTTGAATGGCAAAGGTGATTCTGTCTTGTTGGAGAGTAGTGTGCATGCTCCTTTGCTGAGTATATTTAAGATTGGGATAGACATATGTTAGTCTATGTGAATTGAGGGATGTGGGGAGTGGGCAGGAATGGAGACTTGTAGCCCAAAATCAACCATAATTTATAAAGTTTTGGCAAAGATTTGTAGCTCGGGTTGTGGGTGAGGTTGTTGACTTTCTTGCCGAGCTGGCTTGTTTTCATTCAGACATTTCGTCACCATGCTGGGTGACATCATCAGCGGAGCCTCTGATGAAGTGATATTATTCTATAATGCTTGGAATTTATACTGTCTGGTCTGTTATGGTGAGTACGTCATTTCCGGTCGGTTTTGATCTGAATGGGTTTGTATATGGGGTCCAATTCTATGTTTGTTGATTGCATTATGGGTGGAGAACCATACCCGTAGGAATTCCCATGTGTGTCTATGTTTGGCTTGGGCTATTATAGTTACCTTGTCCCAGTTAAACTGATGGCCTTCATTGTCTGAGTGTACAGATATTAAGGAGAGTTTGTCATGCCGTTTTGCTGCTAGCTGATGTTCATGTATTCTGATGGCTAGTTTCCTTCCTGTCTGTCCATTGTAATGTTTGTGGCAGTCATTGCATGGTATTTTGTAAACCACATTGGTTCTGTATGTGTGGGAATATAGAATTGGACCCCTACACAAACCCATACACTACTCATCATAACGGATCAGACAGTATAAATTCCAAGCGGAATGGAATAACATAGCTTCATTGGAGGCTGCACTGATGATGTCACCTAGCAAGGTGATGAAACGTTTGAACGAAAACAAGCCAGCTCGGCGAGCAAGTCAACATCATCAGCCATAATTGTATTTAATAGTAGAGCTGGCTCTGAATTAACTTTACCTGCTCTTTTTCTTATGTTCTTGGGCTACAAGATGTCTGAAGGGGACACTACATCACGTGGTTATGGCATATAGAGTGGAGCCACCTAGGGCACCATCATCTTATGCAATGTGATGGAACACTCCCCACTTGCTTGGACAGTGCAGCTCCAACAACACTCAGGAAGCTTGATACTATTCAGAACAAAGCAATGCACTTGCTCAGTAGCAACAGTGTACTGTTTACAAGATGTACTGCAGAAATTCGACAAGGCTCCTTAGCATCTTCCAACATGGCAACTACCATCTACCATACAAGAGCAGCAGATACACTGTTTGAGTCAAAGTTTTGGAACTCTCTCCTTAACAGAATTATGGGTCTGCATACCTCAAATAGACTGTAGTAGTTTACAAGGGCAATTTATCACCACCTTCTTGAGGGCAGTTAGTGATCAGCAATAAATGTTGGCTTGGCCAGATATGCCCACGTTCCCTGAATTACTGTTTTAAAAACAACTAGCTGCTGGAATAGATTTCGGCATCCAACTAGAGTAATCCATTCACAATATATTTTTGTACTTCAGGCCAATCCGATTAGTTAAACTATTCAATGTACACTGTCAGTTTTAGAGCTTGAATAATTTAAACTCAATCCCAATGTTAATTAGTTTTGGGATTTTAACCACTTAAAGCAACAGGAGACAGTCTAGCACAGTAACTCAGGAAATGTTACTACATTATAAATATTATCTATTAAAGTAGGCCAGTGACTTCATGGGCATACTACGGGCTCTTGCTTTCTGGTTCAGCTTAGGGTGTTGGTCGACACCGGATCTCTCCCCCTCCAATGCTTCAAGGACCTTACACTCCTGATTGGAAGACAAATATCTACAAACTTCTTTCAAGCTTTGGTCACCAAGAGCTATTGTTTATTAACCCTTTCTAAGCCACAGGCATGATCAATCTTGATTGGTCCAGGGTAGGTGAGACCTGTAACTAATAGGTTTAAGGATGTTTGCTCAATCTCTAATTGGCTCTTAAAGGTGATGGACATTGACTGATGTCACCTCCCACTGTCTCCTGACTGGCTCCTTAAGATGCCAGTTCTCTAAGGGCCCATCCTCTTCATTATGTTTTGTTATAATTATTAAGATAAGGTAATAGTTTGAAATGTGATTTTTAATAAAGAGGTAAAGAAAAAAGGAAGCATTTGCTGTCAGGAGGTTTGTGCACTCCAAGGTTCTGTGCAAGGAGATAGGGGCATTGGCTTTCAATTCTGGAGGTCACTGCTGCATTTGGACCTTGGAAGCCCATGCAGTCAGTAAGAAAATTAGAGGGAACAATGGTAAGGACCCAGTGATTGATATCTTTAAGCTCATACTTAATCCTCGTTTAATGAGCAAAGTTCCCATTAAATCGGGTCATTTAATACCGTCATTTACTATTTTCTTTTGATTATTTGTTCTGCTTGGTTTGGGTTTTGCTGTGTTTGAATGCTTGGTAACAGTTCTGTGTTAGCCTTTATATAACAACTGATATAGAAGCTCAGTGTACTAATCTCTACAAATTTGTTATACGGGGTATGTTGAAGTCTAAAGGATTATTCAATTAAAAACTTAGACACATTGTTACAAAGTTAATTCTAATACAAAAATTACATTAACTTAAAATAAATTACAAGTGCACAACTACAGTTATGATTTCTTGATGAGCCAATGAGCCAGGAGCACAGCATCTCTGTCTTATTCAACCTCCGAACTCTGGATTTAAGCTAAACACAAATTAAACAGAGCCCTGTCATCCTTACAGCAATAACTCCAAAACTTTATCGTATAGTCTTCACTCTGTCCACAATCCCATTGTGCATTTCTTTATCAAATGAAGCTAAGTAACATGGTACAGTACCAAGATCTAAATTGGCTATACTTGGGGCTAAATGGCCTTCTCCTGCTCCTCATTCACATGTTAAAACTATAAAAAGTACTTAATCTCCGGGATGCTCCAAATTGCTTTACTGTCCATAAAGTAGTTTTGAAGTGTTGTCACTGTTTTAATGCAAGAAACTTGGCGGCCACTGTGTAAAGCAAGCCTGCGTTAACAACAAACTGGCTCCTGTGAACGATCAAGATGCACAGAATTCCTTGCTGTCCACTAGTAGCTTAACAAGGGAGCTCTATGACTGATGCTACATGATTGACCAGGAGTGGGGAATGGGGAAGGAGAATATTGGCAGGGTAGTGACAAAATGAAATGTTTCCCTAAAATTGTTTCCAAATTCCTAATTGATTTTTTTTTGTAGGAAACTTACTAACATTGCCTTTGTGGACATGAATCCTTTTCCAATGCGGCTGATCCATAGTCGCAGAACTTTCCACTTGGAGAAGGTACGCCAGGAGTTGAGTGAACTTGAAGCAATCCGCCAAGATTTTCTCCGGGAACGTGAAACTGCAACCCCCGACCGGAGGGATGTGATCAGTGATGATGATGAGGACACCTAAGTGCACTTGCAGTCCCATTTTAGGACTGAACAGCCTTTCTGGATCATGGAACCTGTAAGAATGGCCTAGAAACACACCTGGAATTTCCAGACTATCTACTTAGGAGTTTGAGTCCCAGGGCTATCTGGCATACTGAGCTGTTGGAGAACAGTTCCCTGGTTGTCAGCTCAGTCAGGTGGTGGCAGCTTTGATGAGGAGGGTGCTCCAACATGGATCACTGTTCCGTCCTTGTAAGGCTGTCCACCTTTTGACTGCTAAGTAAACCTGTATCAGTCATCTGCTTTCAATTGAATGTTGTAGAGAGGGGAATGGCTCTCTTTGGCAATTATTTTATATAAGAAAAACAGTTTCTTTTTGAGTTGCTTTTCATCCTCAAAGTAAACTTTGTCTTCCATCATGAAAGAAATATGCTGAGCATGTTTCCCTGTAAGTGCACATAATGGAAGATTGTGTCAAACTAACCTTCGGACTGACGATGGAAATGTGCCAGGTACCAGCACTTAGAACACTCGGCTTACTTTTTGCTCTTAGTAATGACAAAAAACTATCCCTTCTGGTTAGCCAGTCATGGGACCAATTACAATACAATAACAGTATTATTTGAAGATCCTGTCTTGTGTAATTTCTGATTGTCTGCATTGGCTTTGATCCTTACTTGTTTTTCATATCAGTATTTTGGGAAGCGGGCTTCCTTAACAACCAAAAATTATTTTGTATTAAATAAGGAGGAGGTAAAGACTTGCCTTGAAATAATTTTTACATTTGATTTTCCTTCCAAATAGTAGGGGAAAGGGAAAATATGCTCCTTGATGTAATTTAGCCTTGCTCAGACTATCAATTCACTAAAATCTTGGTGTTGATAAATCTTGAATTAAGCTTTGCCTCCATTGAGTATTCAGCTGAAGTATGATTCCATGTTTACACTCAGATGATCTTCATTGATCATTTAGAACATCAATCAGCCCATTTGGTTTCATTATGGATTGCAAATTTTCCTGTCTTATCACCTCTGCCTGCTTTTTGCAAAATTTCATTTGTAAATTCTGTAATCCACATTATCTGTCACAATCTCTTGAAGATTGTCTCCTCAGTTTACAATACTGACTGCACAGTGGAATTTGAAATGTTTTCACATTGGTTCATTTGTGAGACTTAAATTTTGTTTCTGTTTGTATTGCAATCGTGAATTGCCACTGGAAATTTAGACTGTGTAACTATCACTATAACATGACACTTCAGTTTGGTAAAACAACAAAACCCTGAATATCTTACCTGTAAACTGTGAATAGGTGGAAGCTCTCACCTTAACTCTCCTTCCACTGCAACAGCAAGGAAGGACAAAATATGGCATATTTTTAGATCCACACCAAGTTGAGTATTATTTTAGTGAAATGGGACCATATTTCAAAACACAATACTTGTTTCATGACTTTGAGTTGAGGTTGATGTGTACCAGACCAGGATTATTTTACACTTTTGATGTCTCATGCAAGTTTCGTCTCTGAGGTTAACCCTAATTTGACTGCAGGATGTTAGAAGAGCGTATAAGTACTTTTTGCTGGCTGTGGTCCTCTATAGTAAATGGTTATACAGTCTTTTGACTAGAAATTTTGCTACTTATATTTTCTTGAGAGAAATGTCGGAGCTGATTAAAAGCCTGAATGTCTGTAATCATATTGCTCTATCTCCAGTCCACAATCTTTGTGGGGTGAGTCCTAGCACCTGAAGAAAGCAGGAAAATATTTTGTTTATGCTGAACATTGACTTTTTTGATGTTGAAGTTTTGGGGTTCTGAACATTAAAGTGATTTTTCCACAATGAAGTGTCTCTTGAATTTATCATTTTTTTTTAAATAAGATCATGCTTCAGTTACCTGGTTTATTAGTACAGAATGTCCAATTTCTGCTGGATTTATGAAAAGGACAGGAACAGATTGTCCTTCAGAGTTCAACATCTTTGCACTGATGCTGTGTTCTGTTCTGACCACAGCAGGGAAAGTTGCAGTTTTGCTCAACATTTATTTCCCAATGGTTCTCCAAAAAAAAAGGCACTTTTAAAAAAGCAAGATAGCAGTTATATCAAACATTTTCCCTGAAAATAAGCTATTCAGCTTTTCTGTGCACCTCATTAACTTATGTGGGGTTGGACCATCTATAAAAATATACAGAGATGAAAATGGATGAGGCTTCAAATAGTATTCTACGAATTTGCACTTAAAATCAAAACATATCTGTGTGGAGAAAAACACTCTCCTCCTGCTGGCCTTTAGATTTGGTTACTTATCAGCATGAAATGGGACTGTTCGGAGGGTCTGCAGTATGATCAGGGACTGCCTGAGTGTGATTTATACTTAGTGTAATAGTGAGTTTGGTTCATGTGGTAAGTTTTTCCTCAAGTTTAAATATAGATTAAGCCGACTTGTGAGACAGTATTAATGACCTTCACGTAATTTAGATGACCTTGTTTAAACAGGGCTGTTCAGATATTTTCATCAGTCTGTTCAGCGATATTATTAAGCACCTGATCCACAGGTAGGGATGCTACCACTGTGCCACAAGAGCCTTAATGGTGATGTAGTAAGGGCGTGGAATGCCCTGCCTGCAAAAATAGTAGACTTGCCAACTTTAAGGGCATTTAAATGGTCATTGGATAAACATATGGATGATAATGGAATAGTTTAGGTTAGATGGGCTTCAGATTGGTTTCACAGGTCGGCGCAACATCGAGGGCCGAAGGGCCGGTACTGCGCTGTAATGTTCTATGTTTAAATCTTTTATTTAGCCTATTTTTCTAATCAACCTGTTTGGAGATATCACCACACACCTCTGGAGCAGGTGGGACTTGAACCAGAGTCTCTCGGTCCAGGGGTAGGGATATTACCACTGTGCCACAAGAGAGCCAATGGGGCTGCTTGCTAGTGGCTGTGAACTGTCAATCAACTGAAAGTTGGCTCAAGTGATTGTGCCTGAGTGAGGTGTAGTTAGAGTCTGTAATAGCAAATTTGAGAATTCAGTGCATTGGGATAAGAGGCTTTATCTTCTGGCTGGGAGATCTGTTGAAATCTTTTATCAGATTCGAGTAGCTGGTGAGTTTTTCTTTCTGTCTCCAAATTAAGAAAGTGAGAGTACCTATTAGAGTCATAGAGTCATACAGTATGGAGACAGACCCTTCAGCTCAAACTAGTCCAAGGTGACCAAAATTTCCATCCAGGCTAACCCCATTTCCCTGCTCTTGGCCCATATCCTTCTAAACCTTTCCTATCCATATATTCGTCCAAATGCTGCTAATGTACCTGTCTCTACCACTTCTGCTGGCAGCTCATTCCATATGTGTACCACCCTCTGTAAAAAGGTTGCCCTCAGGTTCCCATGATTTCTTTCTCCTCTTACCTTAAACTGATACACTGTAGTCCTCGATTTCCCCCAACCCTGGGAAAAAGACTGAGTGCACTTACCCTATCTATGTCTCTCATAATTTTATTCACTTCTATAAGATACCCCTTCAGTCTCCTACGCTCTAAAGAAAAAAGTCCTAGCTTGTCCAACCTCTCCCTTGAGTCCTGGTAACATCCTTGTAAATTTCTTCTGCACTCTTTCCAGTTTAATGACATCCTTCCTATAGCAAGGTGACCAAAACTGAACACAATACTCCAAGTGCAGCCTCCTCAACATCCTGTACAACCACAACATAACTTCCCAGCTTCTGTACTCTGTGCCCTGACTGATGAAGGCCAGTCTGTCAAAAGCCTTCTTCACTGCCCTGTCTACCTGTGACTCTGCTTTTAGAGAACCATGTACCTGAACTCCAAGATCCCATTGTTCCACTACACTCCCTAAGGCCCTACCATTCACCATGAAATTCCTACCTTGATTTGACTTTCCAAAATGCAACACCTCACACAACTATATTAAACTCCATTTGCCATATCTCTGCCTACTTCCCCAACTGATCAAGATTCTACTGCAATTTCTGATAATCTTCCTTACTGTCCACGGTACCGCCTATTTTAGTGTCATCCGCAAACTTACTAATCATGCCTTGTACATTCTCACCAAATCATTGATATAGATAACAGCAGCAAGGGCCCCAGCACTGACCCCTGTGGCACACCACTAATCACAGGCCTCCAGTCTGACGAGCATTGTTCCACTATTACTCCCTGCTTCCTACCATCAAGCCAATTGTGTATCCAATTTGACAACTCTCCCTGAATTCCATGCGATCTAATCTTCCAGAGCAGCCGACTACGTTGATCCTTATCAAAAGCCTCACTGAAATCCACTACATCTACCGCCCTGCACTCATCAACCTTCCTGGTTACTTCATCAAAGAACTCTAACAAATTTGAGAGACAAGTTCTCCCACGCACTAAGCCATGCTGACTACTCCTAATTAAAATGTTTTTCTAAATGCATGTGTATCTTATCCCTCGTAATCTTCTTACCTACCACAGATGTTAAGCTTACTGGTCTGTAATTCCCAGGTATTTCTTTGCACCCCTTCTTGAATAAGGGCACAACATTCGCTGTCTTCCGGGACCTCCCCCTTGGCTGATGCAAATATATCAGCCAGGGCCCCCACAATTTCTTCTCTAGCCGTTTGCAGGGTTCTTGGATATATCTGATCAGGACCAGAAGATTTATCCACCTTCATGCATCTGGTACATCCAACACCACCTCTATTGTGATATGGACTGTTCCCAAGTCTTTGTGTCTTTCTCCATGGTAAACACAGGAGAAATGTTCATTGTTACTTCAGTTGTGCAATCTACTGGCTAAGCCTCTAACCAAATAATTGCATGAATCAACTTAAGTCATGATATAGTGGCACAAATAAAGGAAAATAATGTAGATCGAGTTGCCATCACTGAGACATGATTACAGGCTGAAGAAAGGTGGAAAGCATACTACTTTCTGTGAGACAGAATGGCAAAGAAGGAGTGGTACCCCTGAGAGTGAAGGATGACTTACTTTCTTGCCAATGATTATATCCGATTTCACAAGTTCGTGAAATGGTATCAGTATAGGTAGAAATTAAGAAAAGCAAGAGTCAGAAAACACTGACAGGAATAGTTTGAATGCCCTCTAACAGTAGTTTCAATGTTGGACCAAGCATTAAACATGAAATTACTGAAGCGTGTAACAAAGGTAACATAATTATGGGTGAGCTTAATGTTCAAATAGACCAGGATAATCAAATTGTCAAGAGTACTCTAGAAGATGGGTTTGTAGAATATTTTCATGGAATTTTTTTTTGGAGTAATACATTGTGAACCTGACTACTGATAAAATCTTGAATCGGGTATCGTGTAATGAAGTAAGGGGAGGCAGTGGCCTAGTGGTATTATCACTGGACTGTTAATCCAGAGATCCTGGTAATGTTCTGGGGACCTGGGTTCAAATTCCACCAGGACAATATGAATTTGAATTCAATACCTTGTCTGGCCTACGTGTGACTCCAGACCCACAGCAAAGTGGTAGACTCCTAACTGCTCTGTGGACAATTAGGGATGGGCAATAAATGCTGGCCTAGCCAGTGAGGCCCTTACCCCCTGAATGAATAAAGGGGGAAAAAAATAGTAAGGTTCATTAGTAATTTGTAGAAAATCCTCTGGGAGAAAAATGATGATAATACCTTGAATTTCATGTAAAGATTTGAAAATTGTGTGCTCAACACAAACAACAATCTTGAACTTAAAGCCACCGATTTGCTGAATGGTACAAGAAATTTCCAATTCTAAAATGTTTGTTTTGGTTGGCTATTTTCAACCACTATTGGATTTGCTTCAAAATGAATAATGCATGCCATGACAATGTGTTTTAATATTGTGGTGTTTGGGAGGGATTGTCTCCAGAGCTTGCAGTCCATCATCTTTTTTTCTTCACAGTCTTCTATGTGAGTCTTCCTAGGTTCTGTTCTTTAGATTTATGAAACAACAGCTTTCTATTGTGATAGTAGGAACTGCTGATGCTGGAGTCTGAGATAACAAGGTGTGGGGCTGGAGGAATACAGCAGGCCAGGCAACATCAGAAGAGCAGGAAAGCTGACGTTTCGCGTCTGGACCAAGGGTCTATCTCTTCTCTCTCTTGTAGTCTGCATGAGCTACATCCGCATCTGGTTTCAGGAGCAGTCCGTCATTTAGGCAAAATATGCTCCCCACCCCTTCAACTACTGATCAGGCACGGCAAGAAACTGTTTAGAATAACCTGTCCACTTTCAACACCACCCTTCGGAGTTATGCAATTTAAACATTGCCCAAAAAGGACAGAGGTGAAGCTTTTTATCTTATCATCGAGATTGAAAGACAAGAAAACCAACATTAGAAAGTGAACACCAACCCTGTGTAATGAGACAGGAATAATTAATGACCTCATAGTTAGGGATCCTCTTAGAAGGAGTGATCACAGTATGGTTGAATTTAGAGTACAGATGGAGAGTGTGAAGATAAAATCCAATACAAGGGTCCTGTGCTTGAACAAGGGGAACTACAATACAATGAGGGAGGACTTGGCTAAAGTAAACTGGATACAAAGATTTTATGGTGGGACAGTTGACGAGCAGTGGAGGACTTTCAAAGCAATCTTTCAAAGTGCTCAGCAAAAGTATATTCCAATGAAAAGGAAGGACTGTAAGAAAAGGGGTAATCTGCCATGGGTGTCTAAAGAAATAAGGGAGGCTATCAAATTGAAAGAGAAGGCATACAAAGTGGCCAAAAACAGCATGAAACTAGAAGATCGGGAAAATTTTAAAGGTCAACAGAAAGCCACAAAAACAGCTATAAGGAAAAGTAAGATAGAACATGAGAAAAAACTAGCACAGAAT